AGTCCTGTTTCTCTGACTGTGACTGGCTTGATGTGCTCTCTTCATCCTCTGACATGGGAGTTGTTTTGGAGCTCATCTGCCTGGCTGTGTTTTTCCTGGATGGGGCCGCCTTTTACAGCTGCTTTTTGTATCTCTGCTTCTGTCTCCTTGAACCGCAGTCGGCCTCGGCAGATGGCCGCTCACACTGAGCCTGGTTCTGCTGGAGGTTTTTCCTGTTAAAAGGGAGTATTTCCTCTCCACTGTCGCTACAAGCATGCTTAGTGTGAAGGATTGCATTCGAGTCAATGAGTCATAGCAATCAACTGGTTTTCCTTAGATAGAAAACTTTCCATCAATTTGACTGTATCATCTGATTGAACTGTAAAGTGCCTTGAGATGACATGTGTTGTGAATTGGCACTATATAAATAAACTGAATTGAATTGAATGATTTCCTTAAAATCCCCACCTTTTGCCCATTGACTGCTGGATATAGGCACCAGCACCCCTCACGACCCCAATTGGGACAAGCGTGTCAGATTATGGATGGATGGATTTCCTTAAAATCTATAGGAGCCATTTATTTCTCTCAAACCTGATAAATATTATTTTAGGGTTTTGTAGATATTCACGGAAATTTAACATAAATGGGCTATCAAGAGGTCATTTTGCCCCCCCTCCTAAAACACCTACAACAAGGGTCTTTAACAATTACCAGGCCAAGGACCCCAAAACTGATGGCGAGATGGAGCAGGGACCCCTTAATTATATATATTATATGAAATTGTGTTATATCAAACTATAGTCACTCTTTTACATATGGAGTAATGTAATGAAAGTGATTTCAGCCTGGGATTATTAAAGTATTTCTGAATCTGATTCCTGGTTGATGGGACAGGTGTTGTGAATGAAACGGTGCCCAGCTTGAAAGAGCTCCTGTGTGTCGCTGTATGTGTGTATTGATGACTGAAAGTCATCTTCTGCCTCCATTTATCTGTTTACTACAGTGTGTTGAATTCATGGTGATGTGTAATATAAAAAAAGTCAATTAGTGGAAAAAATTGCAGGGGGGAATATAAAAAAAGGTCTGATCAACCAAAACTTTCGCGACCCCCATGCAGTACCTCCTTGGACCCCCTAGGGGTCGCGGACCCTCTGTTGAAGATCTCTGGCCTACACGATTACGACCCATGTTTCAACCAATCAAAAGTAACCCGTCGGTGAATCCGGAAGTCTTCTTTTTTTAACTACGTAGCGATAAAACTGGACCCAAACAATAGCACCGGTCTCAGCTTTCATAGGTTGTGGTTTCAACCACACTTTTTTTTGTATATCCTAATCTAATAGTCTATAACGGTGATTCGTTGCTGTGTTTTCTAACTGAATGGGTGTGTTTACGCTCTGACTTGGCAGACAACACCGGAAGGGAGGGCGTTTGTTATGGGAGTCATCTAACCAGGAAGTGGGCGAATAGACAAGCGCTTCGTGAGAAACGACGAACCGAAACGAGAGGCACTCATTGTTTTCGCCGTATATTTTTATTTTAATGAACTAGTGCCAAACGGTATTCTGAGATGACGTTACTGAAGTTATTTCTCATGTCTTGCTGCCTTCCGTATATTAGAGGTAAGTTTGTCATTCACTTACTCTGGGGAAAACAGTTTAAATAATAGTTGTAAACGGATCAAACGGTTGTTCTCCGTGTTTTCTAACTTGCTAGCTAGGTGGCTAATAATGATAAGAGTTTTAGCTGACAGTTCAAAGCGTCACTATCAGTTTTAACCAATATATATGACCCACACCTTAATAGAAAGGTGCCAAAATGTTGACAGTTCATAAGTGAAAATAATGACGCTTGTGTCACTGCAGTTACTTTAAAGGAGACATAGTATTTATTGCATAGGGCAAAGCTCACAAGTCTTTGCGCTAATGCCACCCATCTTTCGGTTAAAATGGAGGTTTTCAGATTGCTGCTATTTACCTTCGCTTTTTGGTAAAATAATGTGACTAATATAGGTCAATGCATGTTAAATAACACCTAAACTAACCTCTCAGCTCTACCAGTTGGGGAAAGGTTTGTGAACCCTTCTGATTAGCAGTGTAAGTAAGTTCAATGACATTGGTTTAAAAAAAAAACTTAAATTACTGTTATATCTCCACTACTAGGAAAACTAGAAAAGTATACATTTTTCTCTTGACATGTATAATGAATGCTGATATTATAATTCCTTACCTTTAGACACATTACACTACTATGACAGTGTGATTTTTCTTCTCTTTTGAGACTTTTGAAACTGAAAATGATCAATAGGGCTTAAAACTAAGTATTCAAAGGCTTTGTTTAATACTTAGTTGATCCCCCTTTGGCAGCAATGACAGCCTTAAGTCTTTTTCAGTATGATGCCAAAAAGTTGGCACACCTACCTTTAGGCAGTTTTTACCCATTCTGCTTTGCAGTGCATCTCAAGCTCTATTAGGTTGGGTTGGAGGGGCTGTGCACAGTCATCTAATGAGCTATCCAAAAATGTTAATTCAGATCCAGGTCTGGACATCTGTTATGGCCACCTCAGGGCTTTTATGAAGTGCTTCTAAAAGCACATTGTGATTGAGAAGTACCTGGTTCCCTCCAAACACAATACCCGGTATTTACAGCAAAGAGTTACGTTTTTTTTTAAATCCAAATGGAGATTTTTTCAGTTCATGAATCAATGGGGTTCTCATCAACGCTCCCACTAATGTATGGGCACCCCCCCCCACACACACACACACACACACTGAGGACCACTGTGTACAACAATAGATGTGCACACTGAGGCTATACACCAACATTGAACTTGTTATAATTCCAGGATAATAGCTAGTTGCATGGTTTATGGAAAATATTAGAGATTACAGCATCAATTTCTATATGTTTACTTCCAATTTAAGTTATTTATTCCACTTAAAAAAAGAACATTCTTGATGCGCTGAATAAGGATGTATACTGAACTTTTTCTAAGGGACACATACATTTTATTACTTTCACCCAAATGCAACCCCTAAATGTATTAATTTTTATTAGAAAACCCATTTGATATTGATATTTGAAACTGGGATTGAAGAGAAGTTCATGGGATTTTCAGTAAAACTGGCTGGCATATCCAATGTCCAGAATAAGGTCATTTGGAATATTGGTCATAGAGATGCTAGAAAGGGTGCAGTTGTTTTCTTCTGTTGTGTTCATAG